TGGATCATTTCTTCTGTCTTATGGATCATTTATTCTCCTCCTTCCCGGCAGCAAAATGCCAAGGAGCGGAGGCTTCCTGCTCACCTTTCCCGTCTCACTGTGGGCTGGGAATCTCCTGCTCTGCCCGGGATGGGGGTTGAAGAGCCAAGGAAGGGGCTGGGAGCAGGACTGAGCCGTGAGGATGGACACTGCGTGGGTGCTGAGGGGAGATGGGGAGGGGGAAACCCACACTGAGCCCACAGGGGTGGGCTGGGGGGTGAGCTCAACCCTATATTAGACAACAGAGAATCCCCAAAGCAGGGGACCCATAGAACCATGGAGCCATGGAATCAACCTGGATGGAAAAGAGCTTCAAGACCATCAATTCCAACCATTCCCAGCGCTGCCAAGGCCACCACCAGCCCATGTCCCCAAGTGCCACATCCACACGTCTTTTAGATACCTCCAGGGGCACAATCCCCGCACTGGTGCTGAGCCAGGCCAGGATGCTGGGGGCTTCCTGACCACCTGGGCACAAGCTGCTCCTGCTCAGCTCCATCAATGCCGGTCCTTTTCCATGGGCAGTTTCCAGCCGCTCTTCCCCAAGCCTGGAGCGTTCCCTGGGGTTGTTGTGTCCCATGTGCAGGACCCGGCATCAATCACTGCCCCTCAACAACAAACCCGACAGCAGCCTCCCCCCCCCCCGGCTCCTTTTGCTGTGTCCTGGGATCCATCCCTTTCCTTCCCGTTTTACGCCCGTTCTCCCCGTCCCAGGCTGCAGGAGGGATGGGAATGGGGGGGAATGGAGCCGCGGGCGGGTTTTGCAACCGCTTCTCCAGAAACCGGCGCTCCTGAGGATGTGGAGCAAGAGCCTGAGTCAGCGCCGGGAGAGCCGGATCCGTGCCGGGGGAGCGGGATGGGGAACGGCTGCTCCATGGGGAGCGGGATGGGGAACGGCTGCTCCCGGGGCAGCGGGATGGGGAACGGCTGCTCCATGGGGAGCGGGATGGGGAACGGCTGCTCCCGGGGCAGCGGGATGGGGAACGGCTGCTCCATGGGGAGCGGGATGGGGAACGGCTGCTCCATGGGGAGCGGGATGGGGAACGGCTGCTCCATGGGGAGCGGGATGGGGAACGGCTGCTCCATGGGGAGCGGGATGGGGAACGGCTGCTCCCGGGGCAGCGGGATGGGGAACGGCTGAACGGCTGCTCCATGGGGAGCGGGATGGGGAACGGCTGCTCCATGGGGAGCGGGATGGGGAACGGCTGCTCCATGGGGAGCGGGATGGGGAACGGCTGCTCCCGGGGCAGCGGGATGGGGAACGGCTGCTCCATGGGGAGCGGGATGGGGAACGGCTGCTCCATGGGGAGCGGGATGGGGAACGGTTGCTCCATGGGGAGCGGGATAGGGAACGGCTGCTCCATGGGGAGCGGGATGGGGAACGGCTGCTCCATGGGGAGCGGGATGGGGAACGGTTGCTCCATGGGGAGCGGGATGGGGAACGGCTGCTCCATGGGGAGCGGGATGGGGAACAGCTGCTCCTGGGGCAGCGGGATGAGGGAGCTGTGCTGCTGAAGCCGGTGGCTGCAGAGGGGCATCCAGCTCAGTTGTGTTTGTGCTGTTCCCTTCCTGCATGGATCAGGGAATGCAGACGGATGCTTCCAGGTGGTGTTCAAGTTCAGGAGCTTCCTCATCCACCCCAGCTGGCAGAGAACCATGGGATGGTTTGAGTTGGAAGGGACCTTAGAGCTCCTCCAGCTCCAAGGGACCCCTTCCGCTGGAGCAGGGTGCTCCAAGCCCTTGTGTCCAACCTGGCTTTGAGCCGTGCCAGGAATGGGGCAGTCACAGCTTCTCCATTCCAGCCTCCCACCACCCTCCTGGGGAAGAACTTCCCCATATCCTATTTAACTTCCCTCTTCCACTTGGAAGCCCAAACTCCTCATCCCACCCCTCCATCCCTTGTCCCAAGCCCCTCTCCAGGTTCCCTGCAGCCCCTTCAGGCACTGGAGCTGCTCTCAGGTCTCCCCTTCCCGCAGCACAGGGGCAGGATCGCCTCCCGGAGCTGCCGCTCATGCTCTGGGGGTGCAGCCCCGCACTGGGGGGGTTCTGGGCTCAAGCGCTCACTGAAGCCGGCCCATGGGGAGCTTCTTGCACCCAGCACCCCAAGTCCTTCCCCTTAAGGCTGCTCCATCCGGTGCCTGTGCTTCCCCATACTTGAGGCACAAACCCAGCTGTGGCTATGGGGCAAGGTGTGTTTGGCAGCAGAGCAGTTTCGATGGGGTTCAGGAGCTCATTGCACCGGTCCAGACACGGTGAGGTCAATGGGGCAGCCGCTGTGTGAGGCTGGGGATGTGTTTGATGCTGCAGTGATGATCAGCAGTGGTGGGATGGGTTCTGTGCAGCCCCTCCCGTTCAAAGCCCCCCCCCGGCCCCATCCACAGCCCACTCCCCACCCCCCAAAAGCTTTCTGCGCCACGGAATTGCCTTTGATGAGCTCCCATTTCTTCCCAGACATCGTTTTCTCTCATTGGCCTCATTAAGGCAATTTGAAGCCCGTTAGCGAAGCGCAGTCCCCACGCAGATGAGCGCTGTTGAACCCGGTGGGTGCAGCTCAGGGGCGGTGATTGCCCTCGGCTGCTGTGTTGGGGGCTCATTTGCTCGGGGGACTTTGGGTTTAGGGAGCACTCGATAAACCCCAGAGCATCGCACAGGGGCTCACAGCACTTCTCTCTGTTCCATTGGCGGCCACCCCCCAGATACGGTTTTGGGGGTGGAAAGGGAAATATCTGCCAACGACACTGAGTTTTCCACACTGGGGGTGTAACGTGCCCGGGCGATGGATGGAGCAGCTTTGGGTTGGGGTTGCAGCACCGGCTGAACCGGCTCAGCCCAAACCCCCGCGCTCAAGGTTGACTCACGCCACCGGTAACGGGACTTTGGGTGGTCAAGGTCGGTATTTGTGACCTGGTTCCATTGTCCCAGATTCCACCAGATCCCACGGGAGAGCCCTGCGCGTTCCAGGTTCAAGGACCTGCAAGGTCAGTCCTTGCTTGGGATGTGAAGCACATCCCATTGAGGGGTCAACCAGAGCAGCCCAGGTTGACTCTGTCAGGAACCTGCCCACCCGTGGTCATGCACCCTTGGAGCTGCGCTGGGGCCCTCGCGGATGCTGCTGCCTCCAGTCTGGAGGCAGGGGATGGATGAATCAGCTCTCCCTCTGCCCTTAATCTGATCTAAGCATTGGGAAAACGCAGGAGCCGTCTCCAGGCTGTAATCAGATGGAGGTTTTGGCGTGTGCGGAGGCAGCTCACCTGACAATGGGAGAGGAAGGAGACGAGCCTGGGGTTTGTCTGCGAGGTGCTGGATGTGGCGAGCCGCAGGGCGGTTTAGTTACCGGGAAATGCGGAAGGGAAGCAGCCTCTGAACAGCGCCGGGGCATGGAGCTGTGCAACGCCCGGGCTGCCGGGAGACACCAGAGCAGCGCGCTGGGGACACCCAAAGGTGGAGAAGTTCGCCCAGGAGTGCTGGGGGGGGGGCACCCTTGTGCCGGTGGTGTTTGCCCTGGCCCCGTAAGGGACGGACCCCAGGCCGGGAGGCAGCGGGGGGAGCTCCCTGAGCACCGGGCTTTCTGTGGGGGCTGCACCCCAAGAGCCGCCCGCAGCTCCCCACAGCCCCTGGCAGAGCGCGGGGCTCCCCACAAGCCGCGGGAGCGGGGCAGGAGCTGTGGGGAGAGGCGGGGACCGCGCTCTGCAGCGGGGTCCCTAAAGCCGGGGAGCACCGGGGGAGCGCCCCGCGGCGCAGGCACACACGTGCGTTCTCCCGCCAGCCCTCGCCACGCCCCCGAAGGGAGGGGTTTAGCCCAGTGCGAGCCTTATATGGCGCTGGTGGGCGGAGCAGAGACGGTGCCGCGCTGGCATTGGCGGGGGCGGGGAGGAGGCGTGGCTCGGAGGGGGCGTGGCCTCGGGGAGGGGCGGGGCGCGGAGCCGGCCGGTTCCCGTCAAAAGGCGGCCGCGGGCGGCGTGGGGGGAGCGGCGGGGCCAGGAGCGCAGGTACCGGGTCCGGGTGCGCGGGTACCGGGTCCGGGTGCGCGGGTACCGGGTCCGGGCTGGGAGCCCCCATGGGGGCGATGCTGCTGATGGGGGCACCCACACGGGACCCTCTGTGGGCGGCAGCGGCTCCGGTGGTGGTTGGGGGGCGGCTGGAGCCGCGGGGAGCCGCTCGGCGCCTCTGTGCGAGGGGACTCGGGTTTGGGTCACTGCGGGTGCCCGGTGCCTTCTCCCTGCTGCTTGAGGGACCCGTGGGGGTCCGCTGAGCTCCGCCGAGGTTTGGGGGTCCTGTGGGGATGGTGGGGTCCCCCCCGGTGCTTTGAGTGCTCCCTGGCTTGGGTCCCACCTGGGCACGGGGTTCTCTGTGTTGCCCGTCCTGATGTGGGGGCTCTCTATAAGCGAGGGCACCTCAATGCCCTGTAGGTCCCCCGAGATTGGGGGTCCTATGTGACACCCTGTAGCATTCAGTGTCTCCCCTCAGATGGGGGTCTTATGGCTGTTAATGGCTTCTCCTCTAAAAGTTGGGGTTCCCTATGGGTTCGGTTCATTCCTGCCTCCCTCAGCCTCTGAATTGTGGGGTGGCCCCTGCTTTTGAGGTGTCAGTGTCCCCCCAGTGCTGTCCAGTCTCAGGTCTGCCCCCCCCCTTGCTGGACCCAGAATGGGGTTCAGCCTGCAGCTGGGGTGCATTCACATACCCTACCTTGGGGTGCCCCCCCCTTTAGCTCCATCCCTCCTCACAGGAGGTCACCCCTGTCCCCTCGCCCCATCTCCCATCCCTGTGTGTCCCTGTCTGAGCTCCCCGCACCCTTTGTGGGGGGCTCTGAAGCTGGGGTTTACCTGGGTGCTATTGGGGTTTCCAGCCTGTTTCTTGCCCGCAGGCTGGTTTCTGGTGCAGGGAAGTTCCTGGTTAAGTTTAAGGGCACTTTAAAGCTGATCATTAATCTCCCCACCGAGTACTTTTGGAAGTAGGGGGGGCCGGCAGTAACTGCCCTGCTCTGTGCTTCCCAGTGGCTTCTCCTCCGTTTGGGAGCGATCCCGGTGTCGGAAGTGTCTGCGAGTCCCAACGCGAAGGAAACGAAGGTACCAGGGCTCTTCCTGCAGTTCCTCCATGAGGAGGGCTCCGTGGTCCTGCTTTACCCCCTACGCAGCACCCAATGGGAGCCGGGGGGGGGGGCTGTGGATGGGTGATGTGGGGCGGACGGAGGTGCCCGCACCTTGGGGTAAGCGGCTCCTTCCTCTTTATCCCTCTCTTTCGGGCCGGGGCTGGAGGCTTCAGCACTGGAGGCTTCCTCCGAAGCTGGGTTTCCTGAGAAGCTCTGGGTTCTGCGCTCTCCTCCCATGCGGGGCAGTGACTCACCTTCCTCCGGCGCTCGCTTAAAGGAGCCCCGGCACCTCGGGGCCACGCGTGTCCCCTCCTAAAGGGTGCCAGCCACCAGTTTGGGTCCTATTCTGCCCTGTGGCTCCTTCCTCTGGGTCTCGCTCCCGAGGCTGCCTTGGAGCAGCGCTCCCGAGTGGAGCAGGGAGGGACTGGGGTTGCTGAGCTGAGGAAAGCCCCGTCTGCTGTCTCCAGACCAGGCAGTTAAAACCAAACCCCATGAGATGGGGCTGGAAGCTGCTGGCTGCCGATGGGCTCTGTGGAAGTGTTTAACTGGGAGCAATGCGATAAAACCCGGCACCAGGCTGAGGCGGAGCGGCTCTGGGAGCCCCTGGCATAGCATGGCTTGGACAGCATCATAGACCCGGAGGAGGGAGGAGGAGGAAGGCTGCTCAGGTGCAGGAGGTACGGGCAGATGTCTGCCTGATACCCGCCTGTCTGCAGGCAGATCGGGTGTGAGATCTCGCAATGGGATTTGGAATGACAAAGGCACGAAGCACAGAAATGGGCTTTTCATCGGGCAGGAATGTGCCTGGGGTCAGACATCCACGAGGTGTTTGTTTCCCAAATCCCGATGTACTTAAGACAAAATAAGCGGAGCGTCTCCCTGCTGCTCCCATGTAATGGATAACTGCGGCGGAGGCTGCCTCCCCGTCCCGGGCTGGGAGTAATCTTTAACCCGCTGTAGCTCACAAAGTGGAGCATCCAATGGCCAGGATCGATCCTGCTTAGAGGCAGTTGTGTCTCTGTGAGGGTGAGGAAGGTACCAACGAGCAGCGCATCCTCCTCTGCTGCGGGTCCCCATCAGCTGCAAGAGGAAGGGGACGAGCATCTGAGTGCAGGGTAAGGTCTGGTGGCTCCGGCATCAACTTCCTCAGGCTGATTATAGCCACGGATGGGGGCACCCGGACTGGCATGGGGCTGTTCTGTGGGCACTGGACACTGAGGGACCCCCCCTTATCCCATGTCGTGGGGAGGGATGCAGTCCTGACCCTGTGGAAGGAGGTCCATGGCTGGGTGTCCCGTTGGGAAGCATCCCGCAGGCGCTGGGGTTTGCCTGTGTTTGAGTGTGAATATTGGATGTAAGGGGTGTGAATATTTGACTATGGCGCAGGTGGCAAGTGAATAAAGGCAGGTGGCCGCTGAGTGATGTTATCACATCAGCGGGGACGTGTCTGGTGCTGCCCGCAGCAACGACCTCCCCCAGAGCTGGGTACAGCAGCCCTGGGTGGGGAAGCGCCTGCATCCTCGCAGGATGCATCCGGATCCCAGCTCGCTGCCGGCTCTTTCCTAACCACAGCTACAAGGGGGCGGCTCCCCCCCCCCCACCTTTGGGTGAGCTCCTGGGTACGTCTCTTGGGTAAGAGGCACAGGGGAGGGATTGGGAGCTCTGCTGTGGGGCTTGCACAACCGGGGCTCGCACTCATTGTGTGTCACCGGGCAGGGAGCTGGATGAGCAGCCGAGGGTGAAAGTGGTTTCTGGGGCTGGTTCTCTTCTCCCCCCCCCCCTCGGGTGAAAGTGCTTCAGGAGACCCAAATTCCCCTCCTCGTTGTGGTGGTGAACGTGGGGTGTGCAGCCCCGCATAGGGGGAGAGGCGGCGATGTCAGTGTGGAGCAGCTTTGTGAAGGTGGGGGTTCAGTTATAACCCCAAAAGGAGGGCGATGCAAATGAAACTGCTGCTTAAAATAAGCCTCTAGAGCTACAGCTTCCTGTTGAGTTAATGCAGGGCTGTTGGGGAAAGCATCCCTCTGGTTGTGGTTCTTTGTGGGGGGCTTTGGCTCTGGAGCTGTACCCGCGGTGCAGGAGGGGAACTGAAGATGCAGGTGAAGCAGGGCTGATGGTTGTCGGTGCTTCCAGCTGAAGGTACCTGGTTGTGAGCAGGGGCTGTGGCCCCGTGCTGGGCTGGCAGCCCATAGGGACCGGCTGTGACCCTGGGGATGGGAGAGGGAAGGGCTCTTAAAGCAGGGTGTGAGGAGCACAAGTGATGAGGGGAGCAAAAGTCCAGGAGATAAGGAAGGTCGGAGGCTCTTAAAGGCTTTAATGGAGCTCCTGAGCAGGAGCTGGCTGGGGAACGGGTCCCCTCCTACAGTCGAGACCGACGTGGCAGGGTTTCCACTGGTGCCTCTCGCTGCCTCCACCTCTGCTTCAGTGTTTGCTGAATCACAGCATCCTTATCTGCGGGGCTCGCAGCGGTATCAGTGGGAGCCTCACACGTGGAAGGGAAGTTTTGCCTCTGACAAATGGAAACGGGGCTCAAAAGTGCTGAAAACCAGTCCCTGGAGCCTTGATCTGCTGATCTGAAAGCAGTTTCCTCATTGCCGGGAGCACCCAACCCCTCTGCCCGAGGTGTCTGACCTCTGAGCTGCGGTAGCTGCGCTCAGTGGGACACTGGTGAGGGATTCTATTCCCAGGTGGGATCTGGGAATGAGGAGAGATGGGTTGGAAAGGGTGTTCTCGATGGCCGGCTCTTGGAAAAGCCCACCTTTCCCTAAGGATTTGCCCCTGAAGCCCACGCTCTCCTTTGCTCCATGCCCTTGCACCCTGATGGCTGCAGGCTGGGTGCCCGCTGGGTGTGGGTGCTGTTCCAGTTGCCCAATGCCAGGCTGGGATGCACATCACCTCCTGCTCCATCGGTGCTCCCACTCCACTTGGGCAAGAAGCCTCCAGCCTTGGCTGGAGCCAGGGGGTGAGGTGATGGGTCCTGAGCTTCAGCCCCCTGCAGCAGGGACGTGGATAGTGCTGACATGGAGGGTTCCTTAGAAATAAGCCCTCAGAGCTCCATAAATGGGACCAGGAAGCAGATAAGGTACAAGTGAGGTTTATATTTAGACCTGCTTAGCTTGGCAGAGCACGCAGTGGCCTTGGTCAGAGCTGGGTTACTCACCTTTGTGTCCCAAGGGGATGGGGAGCGCCGGCTGCTACGTGCAGAGGTTGGGTGAGATGCCCTGGGAGTGGGGGCTCAGAAGCACTTTTCAACTGACATATTCCCGATGTTTTAGCTTGGTGCTGCTCTTAAAGAGGGTTTATTTCATAGCTTGGCTTATGCCGAACCTGGAGGTGGTGCTGATCCCTTCCTGGTCCTGAGCTTTAAGCCTGAAACCAGCCTGGGTTGGGTTGAAGGCACCTTAAAGCTCCTCCAGCCCCAGGGACCCCTTCCACTGGAGCAGGGTGCTCTGAGCCCCTGTGTCCAACCTGGCCCTGAGCTCTGCCAGGGATGGGGCAGCCACAGCTTCTCTGGGCACCCTGTGCCAGCGCCTCAGCACCCTCACAGGGAAGAGCTTCTGCCCCAGAGCTCAGCTCAGTCTCCCCTCGGGCAGGTTCAAGCCATTCCCCTTGGCCTGTCCCTCCATCCCTTGTCCCAAGCCCCTCTCCAGGTTCCCTGCAGCCCCTTCAGGCCCTGAAGCTGCTCTCAGGTCTCCCCTTCCCGCAGCAGAGGGGCAGGATCCCCTCCCTGAGCTGCTGCTCCCACTCTGGGGGTGCAGCCCCACACTGTGGGGGGTTCTGGGTCATGGGGGGGGGGGGTTCTTGCACCCAGCACCCCAAGTCCTCATCCAGGCTGCTCCATCCTGGTTTGGAGACCGCTCCTTTAAGGAGCAGATTCCTTCTCAACCCAGCAGTCCTGGCTCATTGCTTCCCTGTTGTCCTGGCACCTGGGTGCAGGCAGCTCCTGTACCCGGCTGTGCCCCATTGCTGGGGTTCAGGCTGTCTCCTCCTGGCACCTCATGGAGAGGCCGTTGTTTCCTGAGCATCCCAGCTTCGCGCTCAGCCGTGGGGTGATGCTGCGGTGCGGTCAGTGCTGGTCGCAGGAGGAACCCGTTTCTCCCCCTGTCCTTGTTGGCACTCGGAAAGGGCACGAACTGCAGTGGTTTGGCTGCCAAATACGAACCCACCGTGGGAGGTGGGAGATGCTGTGTCTGCAGCAGGGCACTGCACGCACACAGGCTCCTGCACTGCAGGGAACAGGCCCCTCCTGTTTGTTTTACCTGCCACGGATGACAGGGTTTCAAGTGACAGAACGTCCCTGGCCCTGGGTGTGGGATCTGTGCCGCACAACCTGGCAGGGAAAAGGATGAGGTGGGATGGGAGGCAATGCATGGACGGTGCCTGGGTCCATGGGTGATGTGTTCAGCTCTCATGGGAGCGATGCTGCGCTGCTGGCAGGGCAGGGAGGACGTGTGGTGGGCTCCTCTGCGGGCACTGCAGTCAAGCACAGGACGTGGCATTGCTCTTTCTGCCCCCCTGTCCTCTGCTCCGGGGCAGGCTGAGAGAGGGAATGATGTGGGGAATGGGTATGGCTGCGGCTCCTCGCTGGGAAGGAGGGAACGGATCCCTTGATGGAGGGGAACGGTTTAACCCTGCTCACCAGCACTTCCTGGAGCAGGGCCTGGGGAAGGAGCTGGTGAGCAGGGTGAAACCGTTCCTCTCTATCGAGAGAGGAGCCAGCTCTTCCCTGCTCCATCCCTGGGCTGCAGGTACCCGGTGCCCCTGGGCTGGCAGAGCTGACCTGGGGGTGTCCTCTTTGGTTTGTGTCACTCTGGGGTTTCTCCTTGCTCTGTTCCCCCCTCCCCTGGTGCTTTGGCCTCTCTCAGCCTCTGGCTGCTGTTTTCTGCTTGTCCTTCGTTCAGGTGATAGGGATCTGCTGAGAAATCACTGCTCTGCTCTGAGGAAACCCGAGGCTGGGAATGCTGGAGCTGGGGAGAGGTG